AGGGAGGGAGGGANAAGGGGGGGGAGTGGTTGGGTTTGTAGATGAATAAGAGGGATGGGGTGGGATGAGATGGGATGGGATGGGATGGGATGGAATGGGATAAGATGGGAAGCAGGGTTTTGATTTATGGATGAGATTTGGTTTGATCTGAATTGTTTTGGGTGGAGGATGGAGGATGGAGGATGGAAGATGGAGGGTGGAGGATGGAGGGTGGATGGAGGTGCTAGGGATTAGAGAGGAGAGGAGAGGGTTTATGAGGGAGGGGGAGAGGGGGGGAAGAAAAGGAAGAGAGGGGGGATGGTGTTAGAATGAATGGTGGACCGGAACGCTACCAGAGGAAGGAACGTAAGTAAAGGCAAAGGGGAGAAATGGGGGCTGCTGCTGCTTAGTTGTTCTTGGACGTGATGGAGGTTATTGAGGGCGAGAGCGCTGATGTGGGACTCGGAGCTGTGGATTGTTGTTGAGATGTTTTTTTTTTTGAGTGTGGGGGGGGGGGGGGGTCTGGGGATTCGCTGTTAAGATATGTTGGATACTGACTGTGGTGGATGGATGGCTTTGAGATGTGTTTTCTACGTTAATGTCGAAAGGGTTTGGCTCTTGAAATTGTGTGGTGTGATTGTTGTTGGGATTGCAGTGCTTGTTTGAATTTAGCACTTATGTATTTGGTAGACTTATTCTGTAGATTAAAATGCTTAAATAAGTTGAGAATGAAAAAGCTTCATTATTGTATCTAATTATATTATGTGATATATAAAATGCAAAATAGTAATAATTATAGTACCTTCTTGAAATAATATGTATTACTCATCGAATATACCTCGCTATTCTGCTCGCAGCTTACTGCTTATAATATATTCCACGCGGCTCTCTGCCGAAGTAAAGATCATATCATGCCAACTAACCAACAAGCACTCCTACCAAACTTCCGATATACCTTACTTAAAATCCTCATCTAACTTGAATCCTCTTCTGGCGGAAATTCGTCTTTGAATATAGTAAGAGCCTTGTAGCTTGAAATTTTCGGCGGACTTGCAACGATATGTCAACAAGTATTTATATTACTTCCTTTATGAGATTCAGGACTTATATAAAATATAAAATACGAAATAGCGCTCTACAAAAAGACTAGAATGATGGATATGTGGGTTTGAATATTAAGATTGGGGCAGATGTAGATGACCAGGCAGTGCATATCTGATAGCAAACAGTATAGGATAAGGGGTAATGTTTATGAACCAGGACGGTTGGATGGTGGTTGATTTTATATGGCTAGATCAGTGCAAGATTATGTCGTGAAGGCTTTGAAAGGACTTGTGAAAGAGGATACGGGATTTAGGTATGTGAAATTGGGATGGATGGGGTTTATAGGTATGCCTGGAAGCGCGGGATGGTATTAGGTCGATTCGAGAGAATATTATTGCTGCCGAAGGGTTTAGCGCTTGGAAGATCGATTTGATGGACTGTATATAAACCTTCCGCTTTGCACGTCGCCGTACCCCTTGGGAGGTTCTAGGGTGATGAGCCTGCTATGCTATAGCTCGCTAGACGTTAATAAACACAACAATAATATGCCGGGAAGCTGTCGTGATGTCTGCAAAGGAAGAGAAATTGGAATCAAAGAGAAATATTGAGGCTAAATAGTCACGAACAAGTGTTTAGGATATAATGAATGATGCTATGCATGTGCTCGCCTGAGCGCCAAGCACGTTCTTCGGTTCAAGTGGTGCTCTTACTCAAATTCGAAAGCTCGCTTAATGATATCAAGACCCTCACTGCACTTAACAAATGTACAATGATAGAGGGCTTATATTCCAGATAAGTGTTATGCATACTTATTGATTGGATATAGATCCGATACGTTGGGAGATGAAGCCAAAATTTTGTTGTTGTGGCTAAAAGCATGACGATGATGGAGCGACTGTTTAAACAGCCAAGTAAATAGCTGGCTGGCTGGCTGCCTATAGTTGCAGCTCAAGAGTAAAGATATATATATATATATATATCATAGTCCCAAATTTTTAACTTCATGATAGCTGACTGTCTCTGATACTTATTTATGTAAGGTGAGAAGATCGTATATTGAATAAGTGTCAATCAGAATGTAGCCGCAAGATAAAGCGGCAAGAAAAGGCAGGAGCCGAGTTAAGGTGAATATACCTCCACACACAGCCTCGTATCGTACCGACAGAATCTACACGGTAAGTGAATTTCAAAGCTAGCAGCCTGATTAGCACGTAAGCCCGCTTCCCTTTTCGATCTCAGAGAACTCCACCCTCCTTCCCCCCACGGATGAAACACGAATAAGTCTACAACACAACTACATCCACGACTGAGCGATTGAAAAACAACACCACCAAGCCTCACTCACTCACTCACCATCCGCAACAACCCCCCTCCACCATCATTCCACCCCTCAGAAAAAGAAAAAGCACACACCCACCGAGAACCAAGCAAGCAAGTCAAGATGGAGTACTGGTACGCCGAAGAGATCAAGCCCGAGACCATCCGCACTCCTCCACCTGATGATCAGCCCGTCGTCGCGAACCCGAAGAAATCACAAGGCCATAGCCTGAACGACTCCTACCTCCAGTACGCCGAAGAGCTCTCTGGCAGACCCGAGAGGCAAGTGCTCCCCCCCTTCCCCCAGCGCGCGCTAGATCTACCCTCATATATCTTACATGCCGGAAAAAGATCGCTGCCTGACCGGTACTCTACTTTTTTTTAGGGAGGGAAGACAGCGATCTGAAGAGAAGCTTCTGACGGCGGCTGGTGCAGGCAAGGATGGTGCTACTGCTGCTGGTGCTAGTGCTGGTGCTGGTGTCAAGACGGAGGAGGGAGGAACCCAGCCAGAGCCAGAGCCAAAGACGGAGGATGAGAGCCAAGCACAAGCAAAAAAGGCGAAGAAGGGTCTCTGCGGCTGCGATCTCATGTGAAAGATGGCTCCCCCCCGTCCCGTCGCGTTGGTCAATGAGCTGCTTTTTTCTCCGCAAATCGCAATTTGTTTGAGCGGGCGTTGATGGACAGACAGACAGACAGGCTCGGGGTGGAGGTGGAGACTGAGAGCTAGCTCGTGAATGCATTGCGTTGCGTAGCGTTGCGTTTTATCCTCTTTTTCTCGTCCACTACGACTTGCATGCATACCAGACCAAAATGAAAATGCAAGTTTTTACCTTACCCTGCTGAAGTGAAGTGATACTCTCTCTCTCTCCGATATTGACTCTGCCGATTTTCTGCTTCCCGCAAAGCTTTCCGCGTCAATGAGGCTCTCTCTCTCGTAGGCTTGTCTTGGTCTCGGTCTCGGTCTTGTGTCCTCGTTGTGAGCCACATACATCTCTTTAACATGTTACGGCGTTCATCTCATCCCTTCGATGCAGAGAGATCGACAAGAATCTTGTGCATTCATATATATTTCAACGAACCCCCAACCCAACCTCGAAAAACACGTCATGAAATTGATATCCGGACGGCTGGACCGAGATTGGTGATCCGGTCTCTGATGCTCTGGGAATCGCAAGGCACTAGGTAAGCAGAACCATGTATATATATATATGTATATATGTGTGTGTGTGTGTTATCAACCAACCCCTCTATACCAACCAGCCTTCAAAGTCAGCTCCGGCTGATTTACTTTGTCATTCCGTCTGTCGAGTTCGATTTCGAATCGACGTATATACCCACCCGCTCGCGTCGTCCGCTCACTGGACAATTGCCTCCACCTTGATTGACGAGTTTACCCAGCGAGCCACCTATCCATCAATCAACACTGGAGGAGAAACGATGGCACATTTCATAATTCATGTTATTATCATTAGTCATCACCCCGATCCGATAAGGGTAGACATACCAGCATATCTCAGCGCGCGTTTGGTAGGCAACTTCCCGCGTACTGGAATGAATCCCCGCGAATTGGCACATTCTGTTTCTCAAGAATCAGTCGCAATTCTTTTCGATTTCCATTTCTGCTTTGCAAATAGACTCCGTAGACTCTTTAGATTCCGTTCGCGTTTGGTAAGCTGAATCGCATTATGGGATTTCGATTTGGCTGACTTGTGTATTTAATAATACCGCAGATATATATATATATATATATATATATATATATATATATATATATATATATATATATTATTATATATATATATACTACTACTACTACGTACGTACGTACGTACGTAACTAATATATATATATA